ACTTTGACACACATGTGCATGTATTGGCCTTTGGCCCTCAGGAAATACTAGTTGCCACTCATCCAACACTAACCTTGACACGGTGACTATCTGCAGTAGAATTGTCGACGAGGGAGATGAGAGGGATGAGGCGGATGAACATGTCGATCTCGTGCTGCGCCGCGCGGAGCTCGTTGGCCATCCGTGCGCCCAGCAGCAGGCGGCGGAGGTACCCGCAGTCCTGGCACACCGTGACGAGCGCGTAGAACCGCCGCAGCGCGGCCCCAAGCTGCTCCAGCGGTCGCCTGGTGGCCTCCCGCCGCATCAGCTCGACGAGCTCCAGCTCCCTTAGCAGGCTGCCGACGAGCTCCACGTGCTACGCGAGCCGCACGCAGGCGTCCCGGTGGCGGCGCGCCGCCAGGGCGGCCTTCACGACCATGGATACCAGCCCCAGCGCGTCCACGCCGACCAGCTGCGCCACGTTGGAGGCCTGCCCCAGCGTGCCCCGCAAGCTGCTCGAAGGGCTGTCCCATGGGCTCGCCATGCTCGCTGCTCCCCGTCCCTGCGCTCTGCGGCCTCTCCCTCTCCTGGCCTTGTTGCCGCCATTGACACGTATCTATCGGCGTGTCTTTGTGTCGCCGGCGACTTTGACTAACTAAATTATCAAGTGGCATGATGGGTAGAGTGAACTACAGACCTACGGCTGGTGAGGCTTCCTGGCAGCCTTCGCCTTCTCCGTCGTCGGGGCCTTTCGCTTCCTCGCGGTGGCGGTTGTACCCTGTGAGATCAGCACACGCAAATTTTCAACAAAAACGGGTTGTTGCGGAGAACCTATTGAGTGGTACCCGGAGGGTGGTGATGAGAATGTACCGGGTAGGGGCGAGGAGCGCGTCGGTGCCGACGAGGGAGGGGACGGCGGCGGAGCAAGGTTGCCGCGGTCGGAGCCGAGGTCGTCGTGGGTTATCATCTTTTTCTGTGTGCGCATTTGGGGAACGGGAAGAGGGTTTTCCCTCGCTTCTGGAGTTTTTCCCTCCATTTTCTCGTGATGGGCCGCTCGCCAGGAGGTTCCGCGGTTGTACCTGGGCTGTGCTAAATCCTATTCGGCATCCTCTGCACCAGCTACAATACAATTTGCAAAGGGGCGCATACTCCCCCTCCCCACTGGGCCGGCCCATCTAGCTTTTTCTCTCTATTTTTTCCAAATGCAAAAAATGAGTGCTTGTGCTGCGACTCGAACCGGGGACGTCTTGCTTAATTGTTAGCTGCAGTAATCACCCCGCCATCCCCAACTAGACATGCTAACTTTTATCTTTGCACGCCTTTTTTCTTTTTTTTCTTTTGTCTTGGTTTTTCTTTTTTCTTTTTCTTCTTCCCAGGTTCGATGGACTTTTTTCAAATTCGTAAACTTTTTCCTTAAAAATGGATGAACTTTTATCAAATTTGATGAACTTTTTCTAAAATTCAATGAACTTTTTTCAAATCTGATGAACTTTTTTTCAAATCTGATAAACTTTTTTCAACATTGATGAACTTATTTCAAAATCAATGAACAATTTTTCAAATAAATGAAATTTTCTAACGCTCCTTATCAAAATCAATAAATGTTTCCAAAATTCGTTAACTTTTCTTCAAAATATGATGAACATTTTGGAAATCGATGAATTTTTTTTATGAACTTTTCTCATGAATTTATGAGTCAACAACCTGAGCAGTGATCGATGCTGGTGGTCAAAGGTCAACCAGCATAGTTTTTATACTCCCTCCGTCCGAAAATACTTGTCATCAAAATGAATACAAGGATATATATCTAGACGTATTTTAGTTCTAGATACATTCTTTTTTTATACATTCTGATGACAAGTATTTTCAGAACGGAGGGAGTACAAGTTAACCAGCGATCGTGTACTGTGAAAAAAAACCTAACGATCGTGGGGACGAGCGATCCAGGGAATCGAAAGAACGCTCGTGTATATGGGCCGGCCCACGAGGGGCGTGCTTGTGCACTGCGGGCGCAGAGGGGGCCGAAGAGGAGGTCTCCTGGGCTTTAGCCTGTAGGCTCTGCATTTCTATTTGCTGTTGGGCTCTCATCCCCTCTGAGAAAGAACTCTCCTAAAAAAAGCTCGCAATATTTTTCCGAAAACAAAAGCTCACATCTTCTCCAAAAAAACACTCGCAACAGTAGAAAATATTAGATGGAAACCATGTTACAGTGGAAACATGTACAAATTCAAGCTCAAAATCATTTGCGAGGTATGAACAATAAAAAATTCAGCAATGAACAGTGACAAAAGGTGCAACGTTTTTTTGACACGTCGTGCTCGGGAGGAGATGTGTTTGCTAGGTGATAGTATTTTATATTCACGATAATGATACGAAAATATGGTGTTAAATAATATATTTTAGGATTAGGAAATCCACCATTTTTTTTGTTAAAATGACATCTTGGATATACGATTATATTACGGTGGCAAGGATCTTCCATTCAACTCCTTCCGTTTCAAATTAATTGAAGTTTCAGTTTTTTCGTAAGTCAATCTTGTTTAATTTTTACCAAATACAGTGAAAATTTTGATGGTCAAATCTATATTACCCCCGTGCCAAAACCTACTAGTTATCTTTAGTTCTCGATCGAAATAATCACTGAGATTATCACCACCAGTAGCAATGGTCGCAGGGTGCTCATAGCACATCGCAGAAACTAAGGTGTGCGCAGCAAAAAGAATTAAACATGCTCCAACCCTCACAAAAAAACATGGTCCAGCTGTCCAGCTCCATGTGCTTTCACTCAAAATCTTTCTGGGCGAAAGTGATTTTATTCATTTTTTTGTTCATTTAATGGACATGGTTGTTGGCATGTTCCAACTCAGAATGGTTGATTGATTTTGTATATTCATTATTCATCAGTCTAATCAAGCAACTTAGCTAGTTCGATGAGGTTAGGAATGAACACCAAAAGAAAAACGTTCTGAAGGAAAAACACATAAGAAAAACAACTGACTTCAGAATGGTCCAGAAAGAAGTTCAGAAAGATCTTGGAAAACGTAGACGTAAATAAGTTCAGAATATGTTTGTATACGTAAATAAGTTCAAAATATGTTTGTATACTTAAAGAAGTTCAGTAAGATCTTGGAAATTGTTTCATCATTCAACTTTCATCAGAAAAATGCAGCAGAACTGCAGAAAAAGGCATTTTTTCGTCACTGAACACACAACGGAAAAAACGCAGCAAGAAACTAGTACTTTCCACCCGAGAAAAAAAACATGATCCACAAGAGAAGCTTCCACATATATGTTCCCCGTGCATGCATGATGAAGAACAGTAGCAAAGAATTGACCAACAATGCAACATTACCTCTGTACTGACATACTTATCATTTAGTTTCAGTTTAATGATGAATATGCAGTACTCGTTCAGTTTCTCGTGGGAAAAAACATAACATCATTATAATTGTTTTGTAAAGACCAACTTAACATGGGTAAATGTGCTAACAGAGCAAACTGAAAGCAGCATGCTCTGTACCACATTTGCATATGGATTCAGAGAAATTGTTCACGATGCACAGATCTTGGCAGCATTCTTGCTTGAAGAGAAAAATATACTTAAAAAGGAAATTATGTCTTCTAGAATGATTTGGCATTCGAGCACGCAAAAGTTCCAACAAAATTATAATTTGCTGTCTCCCATGGGCGTAGTAACCATATTGTCTTAATATGCCTAAAATTCAGTTTTCATGCACTGCAAGAATATGAATCACCTGATAGGTGATAGCAAAGTTTTAAATATCATCAGGTTCTTCTGAGCATGTTGTCGCTCCTTTAAAAGTAACAAATTAGATCCAGTGATTCCAGGCAATGCCCAATGGTACAAGCACAATATTTGGTTGCTTGGGGAAGATGTTAGGATAGACAGTGGAATTTGTAATGTTCAAATGAACAGGAAAATTTCTCAAGGAGCCAGAGAAGGTAAGACTGCTGTTGCACGGAAACCTTTTTCACATTCTTGACATTTGTAATCCAAGTGAAAAGTTAACATGATCTGAGAAAAGCCCAACCTATTTGACAATCAGATTGCAGTATCTGTAACCATAAAGTCTGTCTTCAAACTCCCCCAAACATGTCCATGCGCTTCACAACTCAACAAAGGATTGTGAAATCATAGGTGCATCCATCGGATCGTACCTCGTGTACATACTTTTCTCACAAGAGCAGCGGAGTGTTTTAAGACGCATAGAAACATAAAAATAAATATAGTTACTCAAATGCTCTGCTCAAATTCAGGCCAACAATTTTTCATTCATATCTGATATTCATTACAATATGACTCGATAGTCGGTACATTGAGGACTTGATAGTCGGTACATCAAGGACTTGCTTAGCTCAAAGCTTCACTCACATATACACACAAGAGTTCACCAACCAATGCTACTCGTCGGAAACTGCAACTTTAACTCACCACGACGCGAGTGCCTAAGAATCCAATTCAGCCAAGATTAATTTTACAGGAGAGTCAGCATAGTCTCCAAACGCTAGGCAGCTCACAAGATTACGTGTGTATCGACAAGTTCAATTCTACTCCTTTTTCCTGCTACAAGCCGGGTAGCAAACAGGCGTTTTGCATTTTGCGGCGAGTGCGTTTTACGCTCTGTCTCATGCCGGAATTGCAGTACATGAGTTTCCAATTTTTTTGGGCTCATCTGCTTTACTTTGATTTATTGAAAATGCCCTTTATTTACTTAAACCCTTAACTTAGGACCAGGTGTGGATGTAGTGTAACTGTGCCGTACACATCTTAACAAGGTTTTTGCTGCCTAGCTACATGGAGACTCTGCTGACACCCTTGTAAAATTACTAATGACTGAAAGGAATTCAAAGAACACTAGAAATATTGGTGATTAAGTGCAGAACCTAAAGATGCAAAGATTAAATGAAACTCATGTGTGAATGGTTTAGGAAGGTAAAATACTAGTAAGGGCGTAGTACCACTGGACGCAGCCAAGGAATTGGTTGCTTCCTTGGTGCTGCAACAGCAATGACAGGCAATGGCGATTGGTTTTGCTTCGGAACCTTGCAGCTGAGCTCCCCCATCCCCCTTCTTGCGCGCAGAGTTGAAGCTGCTGGAGTCATCTTCTTCACAGTAGTGGCAGGGGCAGGCAGTGGTGTAGAGCCGACGAAAGAGCAAGCCTTGGAAGCGACCTGACGAGAGACCTTCTTCACGGGCGCAGCAGCAGTGGCAGGTAGGCAGACCGAAGAGCGAGGCTTGGAAGCCTTGGAAGCCGGGAGCTTGCGGTGGTGGCAAGCGGACTCCTCGTCTTCAGCCATCTGGCGTCCACGGGCACGGATGGCGCACCGGACACCAACGGGTTGAGCACCAGCAGCGGCCGGCAAGGTGGTGGCAAGCCCAGGGCGCGCGGCGACGGCAGAGGCATGGAAAGCGATGGGTGCCGTCGGTGCTGGGCTAGGTTCTCCGTGGTCGACACCCTTGAGGTGGTGAACGAGTTGGCACCAGGCACGGACGGGATCAGCACGGGTGGCGGTGGCTGGAGCAGCGACACCAGATGCGCCCGTGCCGGCGTGGCGACGGGGACGCCCTCCATGGTGGACGCCGTGGCGGCGGAGTTCTTGGACGGCTGCGGCGGCCTCCTTGGCGAGGCCATCTTCCTCGAGACGGCGCTGGAAGTCGGCGTCCCAGCGGGCGAGGGACTCCCGGGACTCACCGGTGACCTTGGCCAGGCTGTGCTTGGTCCAGTACTGGAGAACCCTCTCGAGGGCGCGCGAGGGCACCCGCATCTCCAGCGGGAGGGCTTGGGCGGCGGCCGGGCGATAGTCCCATGCCGGAGCGACGAGCACCTTGCCGTCGGCGCTGCGGAGCTGGAGCACCTTGGCCGCCATCGATGGCGTGCCTAGGTCTGGAGATCGGGAAGGTGGGCGAGCAGATCGAACTGGAGCTGCTGCTCCCACCGGCGCCCCCCATTTATTCAGGGGAGAGCTCCTAATTCTTGCCGAACTCGGATTGGAACTGTCGCTGGCTGAATTGGAACTGGGATTGAACTCAAGCTCGACCGCGGCAATCTCACGCGCTGTTAATCCAGCTGTTTTAATTCCGGACGCGTCGTTCCTGTCACTGAAGAAAGAAGTAGAACGTCTTCAGTTTCTCAGTCCATAAATTGGACTTCTTCAGTTAAAAACCTGGACACCTCTGCATCCTATCGATGAATGAAGGATTCTAAGACAGATAGAAAATTCATGGCTAATATGGATTTAAGGAGAATCGGTGGTACAAAAACCAATCTTAAATTGCACTCCCTCCGTTTCAAATTACTTCACTTGAATTTGTCTAAATACGGATGTATCTATACTTGTTTAGTGTCTGGATAAATATGGGTCAAGTAATTTGGAAACGGAGGGAGTAATTTGTAGCATTGTTTTTCAGCACAGCCCAAAATGATGTGTATCAATCTTATAAATTTGTGAAGCTACTAAATTTGGCATGTACTGAATTTTGCTGTTTATTTCTTAAATATGGTTCTTCTTCATACTCAAATTTTTTCTTCTACTGAATGTGCTTCTGAAAGAGGAGCCCAATGGAGCAACAGGAAGGAGAGGGAAGCCCAGGAGGAGAAATTCAAAAGAAAAAAATTGCTGAAAAAATTCAGAATTAGCTACAGGCTTCATACTTGTTACTTTCTAAACTACTCCCTCCGTCCCATAATGTAAGACATTTTTTGATACTGATGTAGTATCAAAAAACGTCTTACATTATGGGACGGAGGGAGTAATATGCTTTTGAGCATGTCCGAGGAATGACCTGTCAGCACACAAAAAACATTTCCATAACCGGATGGCCCATTTACGAATCATCACATCCATAAGATTACATGAAACGTAAAACTACTTTTTTTTTGAGGTATTGACAGTGGGAGAGAACTCCCACTGTTTTTTCATATATCTATATAAACGGGGTGTTTACATAGACATATACAAACAAATCGTCCCCACTACTCCTGGTTGGTACACCAGAGAGGTGGGCAGCTACTCCATACAAGTTGGTAAGTGGTATGCTAATCGTATATTACAAAGATAAAGAGGGAGAAATAGAGGTGACTCAACCAAGCGTGTCACAATACGAGGGCAGGGACGTTCGACGTGCCACTTTAACTCTATGCCGCAGAAGTCGTAGACCTTTTTGAAGCGTGCCGACCAGGAGTCAACGCTGGGGACAACACCTCTGAAGTGCTTGTTATTTCTTTCCTTCCATAGGCTCCATGCAGCGGTGTAAAAGACTTCAACAAAGAACGCGTTTGGCCAACCTGTTTGTTCGTTGAGGAGCGCAGTGAACCTATCATGGAAATCACCCCAATCAATGTGTATTTTGTCCCAGCACATCTTGCTAAAGGGGCACGTGAAGATCATATGATCGAGAGTCTCATCTTCTTGCCCGCAGAGAAGACAGGCATAGTCATATCCAATGTTATAGTGTCGTCTTCGGAGCATATCACGTGTGTTGAGCCTATCTTGCAGAAGCAGCCACCCGAACACTTTGATTTTCATTGTGCAGTTGGATTTCCAAAGCTTTTGGAATGCAGGGTGGGCTGCTGCAGTGGCAAAATAGTTGTTGTAGTAATCATTTGGCCTGTAATCTGCTTTGCTCCAAATGTAATGCCAGATGTCAGTCATTGCTGTTGAAGGGTTTAGCTCGAAAGAAGCACGTTGGATATCTAGCGCCTCAGCATGAGCCTGAGGAGATAGCGGAAGCTGGAAGGTTTCATGCAGATCCGTGGTGGCCCAAAAGTCAGCCACCATCATGTCTTCATGCAGAGTATAAGAGAAGGCTCGAGGATGTGACACCTGGAGCACATCGGTGGACCACAAATCTTTCCAGAGCAACGTAGTCGAGCCATCCACCACTTGCACACGGGAGATTCCTCGATAAACTGGCGTCAGTTTCAGGACATCTTTCCACCAGAAGGACCCCACCGAATCCACAGCGTGAGGCACTTGGCCAACATATTGATTTGCCCAGGTCATGGTGACCCAGGGAATGTCAAGCTTGTTATAGAACTTGTGTAAAAATTTCAATAAGAGGGCATCATTATGGACTTTAATATCGATCACCCCCAATCCACCTTTGCACTTTGGTTTGCAGACCATCCCCCAGGCAGCCAAAGAGTTACACTTGTCACCTTGATCTGTTTTCTTTGTCCATAAGCATCTCCTCCTAATCTTGTCAAGGATATCAATCAGCTTGGGAGGAAATTTTAGGGTGCACATGGCAAAAACCAGAAGTGAGGTGACCGACGCATTGAGCCAGGACAGGCGCCCTCCATATGACATCATGGCGATTGTGGCCGTGAGGCGACGCTCCATTTTGCAAACTAAGGGCATGAGTTCTTGAATGGTGGGCCTGGTGGTGCCAAGTGGAAGCCCAAGGTATGTGAAAGGCATGGCACCTACATTGCACTCAAAAATGTTGGCAATATTAGACGTGGTTGTTGCATCAATGTTGATAGGGATGAGAGTGGACTTGTGAAAATTAATCTTGAGGCCGATAGAGGACGCGTAATCAGACAGAATTTGTTTGACACGCAGTGCTTGTTGAGGGCAGGCCGGCAGGACCAGCAGGGTGTCATCCGCATACTGAATCACCAGGAAATCACTTTGACCGTTGCAAGGAAATGACAAAGAGAGATCGCCACGTTGGAAAGCATCATTAACTGCGGCTTGCAAAAGTTCAGCAGCAAGAACAAATATTAAGGGGGACAGTGGGTCACCTTGTCTCACCCCACAACGACAAAGGAATTGTCGGCCAGGGACCCCATTAAGAAGAACGGACGAGCGGCCTGAGGAGAAGATACACTTGATCCAAGAGATCCACTTATCATTAAATCCCATCTGCTGCATAATGCGAATCATCGGCTCATGAGCAATCGTGTCGAAAGCCTTGGCAAAGTCCAGTTTGAGTAGAACGATTGGTCGGCCCGAGTTTTGACAGTGGTACAGGTATTGATATGCCCATGCAAGACAATCTTGTATAGTGCGGCCCTTTATAAATCCATATTGGTTACGGTGGACGAGCTAAAGGATGACACGTTGGAGTCTGTCCGCCAACAACTTGGTAAGTAACTTGAGGCAGCAGTTTAGCAGCGTTATAGGCCTGTAATCAGTTTAGCAGTTTAGCAACGTAAAACTACTTTGCATTTTTGCCTGCGACTGTCCATGTTGTTCCGGCCATGTCCATGTCCGATGGCCGACTGCACCCCACGAAGTGTTGGTGTTGTCACCGGCGAGGTAGAATAGGACACGAGACACGCACTGGCTCACGGGACTCGAAGCATCGCCGTCTCCCATGCCCCATTCTTCCTCATCGGAGCTCGTGCCCTGCATGTCGCCGGTGGATGTGAGGTCAAGATGATGGATTGATACGTCTTCGTCGTATCTATAATTTTTGATTGTTCCATGCCAACATTCTTCAACTTTCATATACTTTTGGCAACTTTTTATACTATTTTTGGGACTAACATATTGATCCAGTGCCCAGTGCCAGTTCCTGTTTGTTGCATGTTTTATGTTTCGCAGAAACCCAATATCAAACGGAATCCAAACGGGATAAAAACGGACGGAGAATTAGTTTGGAATATTTGTGATTTTCTGGAGGAAGAATTAACGCGAAACGGTGCCCGAGGTGGCCAGGAGATAGGGGGCGCGCCCACCCCCCCTAGGCGTGCCTGGCACTCTCCTGGGCCACCCGTAAGGCGGTTGACGCTCTTCTTTTGCCGCAAGAAATCTAATTTTACGAGAAAAATCTAGGCGAAAGATTCACCCCAATCGGAGTTACGGATCTCCGGATATAAAAGAAACGGTGAAGGGGAAGAATCAGGGAACGCCGAAACAGAGAGATAGATCCAATCTCGGAGGGGATCTCGCCCCTCTCACACCATGGGAGCCAAGGACCAGAGGGGAAACCCTTCTCCCATCTAGGGAGGAGGTCAAGGAATAAGAAGAAGAAGGGGGGCCCTCTCCCCCTTGCTTCCGGTGGCGCCGGAGCGCTGCCGGGGGCCATCATCATCACCGCGATCTTCACCAACACCTCCGCCATCTTCACCAACATCTCCATCACCTTCCCCCTCTATCTACAGCGGTCCACTCTCCCGCAACCCACTGTACCCTCTACTTGAACATGGTGCTTTATGCTTCATATTATTATCCAATGATGTGTTGCCATCCTATGATGTCTGAGTAGATTTTCGTTGTCCTATCGGTGATTGATGAATTGCTATGATTGGTTTGAGTTGCATGTTTTATTATTGATCCTGTCCTATGGTGCCTTCCGTGCCGCGTAAGCATGAGGGATTCCCGATGTAGGGTGTTGCAATGCGTTCATGATTCGCTTATAGTGGGTTGCGTGAGTGACTGGAACACAAACCCGAGTAAGGGGATTGTTGCGTATGGGATAAAGGGGACTTGATACTTTAATGCTATGGTTGGGTTTTACCTTAATGAATCTTTAGTAGTTGCGGATGCTTGCTAGAGTTCCAATCATAAGTGCATATGATCCAAGTAGAGAAAGTATGTTAGCTTATGCCTCTCCCTCAAATAGAATTGCAATAGTGATTACTGGTCTAGTAAAGTAGTCAACTGCTTAGGGACAATTTCACAACTCCTACCACCACTTTTCCGCACTCGCTATATTTAGTTTATTGCATCTTTATCTAAACACCCCCTTCTTTTTATTTACGTGCTCTTTATTATCTTGCAAACCTATCCAACAACACATACAAAGTACTTCTAGTTTCATACTTGTTCTAGGTAAAGCGAACGTCAAGCGTGTGTAGAGTCGTATCAGTGGCCGATAGGACTTGAGAGATTATTTGTTCTACCTTTAGCTCCTCGCTGGGTTCGACACTCTTACTTATCGAAAGAGGCTACAACTATCCCGTATACTTGCGGGTTATCAAGACCTTTTTCTGGCGCCGTTGCCGGGGAGTCATAGTGTGGGGTGAATATTCTCGTGTGTGCTTGTTTGCTTTATCACTAAGTAATTTTTATTTGCTGTTCTAAGTTGTTCTCTATCTTTAGTTATGGATATATAACACGAAATACCAAAAAAATTAGGTGTAGATGCTACTCATGGAGATGGGGAACCTCCTAAAACCTCGATGCTCGTTATGTGAAAAAAATTATGTACTACTTTAATAATCCTGAGAAAACCCCATTCAACTTTGTTATGGGAGACACGTTGGATCAACGTGAATACTTTAGGGATTATCGCTTGACACAAAAAGGGAAATTATTATGGGATCAAATTTCTATGTTGCGTTGGTATGCTCGTCAACTATGCGTGATATATGATTATACTTGTTGCTCTAGGATGAAGGCTCCACACCTTCCCTTTTCATGCAAATTCAATGATAATAAAACCTTAGCTTCTTATGTTAATGGTAGATATGATTACTATGATGTGGAACAAATAGAAGAATTTGTTGCTTTTATGGGTGCTTATGAGATTGAATCTATGTTTAAAGAGTGATGATTTTGATGATGCAGTTTATAGACCTGAAAATTTTGCTATACTTAGATATTGCTCTAAAAATTATGAATACAATTACAATATTAATGCATTTATTGAGAAAGTCTCCACTGTCCAAGAAGAGACTAATATTTTGCAGGAAGCTATGGAAGAAGAAATTGATGAAACTGTGAGCTCATTGGATGAAAAAGATGATGAGGAGAGCGAAGAACAAAAGGAGGAAGAGCGGATTGATCACCCGTGCTCACCTTGTAATGAGAGTAACTCTTCAACTCATACATTGTTTAATTCCCCTTCGTGCTTACCGAAGGATGACTGCTATGATGATTGCTATGATCCCGTTGATTCTCTTGAAATATCCCTTTTTGATGATGTTTGCTATGCTTGTGGCCAAGATGCCAATATGAATTATGCTTATGGAGATGAACTTGCTATAGTTCCTTATGTTAAACATGAAATTGTTGCTATTACACCCACGCCTGATAGTCCTATTACCTTTTTGAATTCTCCCGACTACACTATATCGGAGAAGTTTGCGCTTAGTAAGGATTATATTGATGGGTTGCCTTTTACCATTGCACATGATGATTTTGATAGATATAATATGCATGTGCTTGCTGCTCCTACCTGTAATTATTATGAGAGAGGAACTATATCTCCGCCTCTTTATGTTTCCAACACGATAGAATTGCAAGAATCTGCTTATACTATGCATTGGCCTTTACTCGGTGTGCATGAATTGTTCTTTTATGACATGCCGATGCATAGGAAGAGAATTAGACTTCATTGTTGCATGATATATGTTACTTTGTGCTCACTACTAAATTGTAAATCATTGTTAATTAAAATTGGCTTTGATATACCTTGGGATCCGGGTGGATCCATTACTTGAGCACTATATGCCTGGCTTAATGGCTTTAAAGAAAGCGCTGCCAGGGAGACAACCCGGAAGTTTTAGAGAGTCATTTATTTCTGTTGAGTGCTTTCATATAGTTTAAAAACAAAAAAATAAATAGGGGAACCTAAAAACTTTTCAAAAAGGAAAGTGAAAGTGAGAGAGACAAGCATTGTTGAAGTGGGAGAGCTCCTTGAACTTTGTTCGTGCTCACGGAAACTTTGTGAATCTTGATTACAGAACTTTTAATCAAATATAATTACCCCCTTGTACAATTCCATTGTATTATAAAAATAATGTGCCAAGGTTTGCCTTTAGGATGTTTACAATGCTTGTTGGTTTGTATGGTGCAGGACAGAAACTTTGGCTGTAGTGCGCGATTTTACATTTTTAACTGGAACATCAATTGGTTCTGATTCCTTTTGCACTGTTTTGATATACAACTTGTTTATTTTTCCTAATTTTTGTAGAATTTGTGGGGTACTAGAAGTATGGTGAATGTTCAGATTTCTACAGACTGTTCTGTTTTTGACAGATTCTGTTTTTGATGCATAGTTTACTTGTTTTGATGAAACCATCAATTTATATTAGTGGATTAAGCCATGGAAAAGCTATATTACAGTAGACACAATGCAAAAACAGAATATGAATTGGTTTGCAAAGTGCTTAGAGTGGTGATTTGCTTTATTATACTAACGGATCTTACCGAGTTTTCTATTGAAGTTTTGTGTGGATGAAGTGTCTAATCGAGGAGGTCTCGATATGAGGAAAAGGAAGAGAGGCAAGAGCTCAAGATTGGGGATGCCCGAGGCACCCCAAGTAAATATTCAAGGAGACTCAAGCGTCTAAGCTTGGGGATGCCCCATAAGGCATCCCCTCTTTCTTCAACAAGTATCGGTATGTTTTCGAATTCGTTTCGTTCATGCGATATGTGCAAGCCTTGGAGCGTCTTTTGCATTTAGTTTTTCACTTTTCTTTTATGCACCATGCTGGTATGATATAGTCCTTGGTTGATTTATAGAATGCTCATTGCACTTCACTTAAATCTTTTGAGTATGGATTTATAGAATGCTTCACGTGCTTCACTTATATCATTTGAAGTTTGGATTGCCTGTTTCTCTTCATATAAGAAAACCGCCATTTGTAGAATGCTCTTTTGCTTCACTTATATTTGTTAGAGCGTGGGCATATCTTTTGTAGAAATAATTGAACTCTCTTGCTTCACTTATATCTATTTAGAGAGATGACAGGAATTGGTCATTCACATGGTTAGTCATAAAATCCTACATAAACTTGTAGATCGCTGAATATGATATGTTTGATTCCTTGCAATAGTTTTGCGATATAAAGGTGGTGATATTAGAGTCATGCTAGTGGGTAGTTGTGGATTGTAGAGACACTTGTGTTGAGGTTTGCAAGTCCCACGCCGGAGCGACGAGCACCTTGTCATCGGTGCTGCGGAGCTGGAGCACCTTGGCCGCCATCGATGGCGTGCCTAGGTCTGGAGATCGGGAAGGTGGGTGAGCAGATTGAATTGGAGCTGCTGCTCCCACTGGCGCCCCCCATTTATTCAGGGGAGAGCTCCTAATTTTTGTCGAACTCGGATTGGAACTGTCGCTGGCTGAATCGGAATTGGGATTGAACTCAAGCTCGACCGCGGCAATCTCACGCGCTGTTAATCCAGCTGTTTTAATTCCAGATGCGTCGTTCTTGTCACTGAAGAAAGAAGTAGAACGTCTTCAGTTTCTCAGTCCATAAATTGGATATCTTCAGTTAAAAACCTGGACACCTTTGCATCCTATCGATGAATGAAGGATTAGTTACAGGCTTGATGTAAAAAAAATTAGTTACAGAATTAGTTACACCAGGAGGAGAAATTCAGAAAAAAATTGATGTAAAAATTTAGAATTAGTTACAGGCTTCATACTTATTACTTTCTAAACTAATATGCTTTTGAGCATGTCCAAGGAATGACCGGTCAGCACACAAAAAACGCTTCCATAACCGGGCGCACCATTTGCAAATCATCACATCCATAAGATTACATGAAACATAAAACTACTTTACATTTTTGCCTGGGACTGTCCGTGTTGTTCCGCCCATGTCCATGTCCGGTGGTTGGCCGGCTGCGCCTCACGAGGTGTTGGTGTGGTCACCGGCGAGGTAGAATAGGACATTGGACACGCACTGGCTCATGGGACTCGAGGCGTCGCCATCTCCCTTGCCCCATTCTTCCTTGTCGGAGCTCATCCCCTGCATGTCGTGGTATTGTCGCCGGTGGAAGTGAGGGCAAGGTGATGGATTCGTCGTGGTCAGAGCCGGTCGCGTCCCGTCATGTTGGAGAAGGGCGTAGATCATCGGACGAGAGCTTGTGGGCGGAGGGAATTGGACTGGACGAGAGCTTAACATGGTATCAGAGTCCAAGGTCTTGAGTTCAAGTCCCGTCTTTTGCAATTTATTGAAAAATTGTTACTGCCCCCTCTAGGTCCACGTATAGGTCTCTTAAGCCATACCTCTAAGTCTATTCACGTGTTGACTTCCCGCGCCACATGTAAGAGGCGGTGTTGAAGTGTATATATGGATTGCCTAGCTCTTTCTATCAATTATGACTTTTGGTTGCGTTGGCTAGTGCATGAAGCTTAACAGTTCTAACCTCACGATCTCACATATCAATGGCAATTTCAATGCCAAGGACCCAAAGATGACATCATACTAGGATGCGGTCAAGAAAATGTCTGCTCGTTCCGATGGCCTAGAGTTTCACCACGTCCAGCGTGATAGCAACCAAGCGGGCTGATGTGACCGCGTGACCACAAATACATTCAATGAGCAGCTCTTCAAGCCCTCCACCAAGCTGCAGGTCGGGCAGACACCGGCCTCTGAGGACGGGGACCTCCAACCCCTGCCTCAAGATGCCCATGGACCTAGATCTCGGCATCGATGGGATCGGGGGTTGGGACAAAGAATGAACTTCCTTGATCCATGAAATGGTGGCGGTTATCCCGGCATGGAATGAGCCTATCCTGGCTTACCTACTCCGGGAGGAGTTACTTGTGGACGTGACAAGAGTATGACGTATAGTTCGTTGAGCTACCGCTTATGCCAAGCACGAAGGAGAGCTGTACAAGCACGTCGTTATTGGAGTTTTCCAACATTGCATTTCTCCCGAAGAGGGCGACAACTCATTCACGAGATTCACTCCAGCAGTAGCGGTCACCACGCGGCCCCTCGGACCCTGGTGAGCAAGGCCTATCACACTGGCTTCTATTGGCCTACGGCAAGAGCAGACACCACGAACCGTGTCCAAAACTGCTTGGGGATGGGGTGCCAGCTATTTGCTTAAACCAACCACTTACTAGCCATATCTCTTAAAACGATTCCCATAACCTGGCCGTTCACAATCTAGGGGCTGGACATGGCCGGGCCTCTTCGTACCGGTGAAGGTGATAATAAATATCCCCTTGTCATGGTCGACAAGTTCACCAAGTGGATCGAAGTGAACCCAGTCAGCAGCCAAGCTGTGGAGCCGGTCATTAAATTCATATCCGGTGTGATTCATCGGCACGACATGCCCCATATCATTATCACGGACAAAAGAAAAAAGGTCCAGAATTACTACGAAGAGCACAAAATCAAACTAGACAGACTACGCCTCCGTGTATCACTCGCAGACCAATATTTTTCAGTGATTGCTCTCATATAGTTTTGGAACACGATAAACGGAACATACGACTATCTAAAGTGTTCGACGGAACTTCATAATCTACCGTAATGCTAAAAGAGTAAAATGAGCCTAGTTTCTAACTTCCTAAATCAGCATTGCTCTTTTTTTTCAGGTTTCTATTGCACTGCCAAAATAGAATTTTTTCCAGAGTAATCCATGCACTCCACTGTACTTTCAGCCAACTAGATGCTTGTGAATAATTCTGCATTGTAGCTGTAGAGACCTTCAGCATCATGATTAGAGACCTTTTTCCACTGTTTCCAATAAGTCTATTACTCCTTTTAGTAAATCTGATCAATAGATAAATTCAGTTTTCCAGTGATTGTCCTCGTATGATTTGGAACACAACAAACAAAATAGGGTTAATTATCCTTTTGCCCTCAGTGGTGTCCATGTGCTCAGTTTTTCCCTCAGATGTGAATTTGAAGGAAATATGCCCTAGAGGCAATAATAAAGTTGTTATTTATATTTCCTTAAAGAATGATAAATGTTTATTATTCATGCTAGAATTGTATTAACCGGAAACTTAGTACATGTGTGAATGCATAGACAAAACAGAGTGTCCCTAGTATGCCTCTACTTGACTAGCTCATTAATCAAAGATGGTTAAGTTTCCTAACCATAGACATGTGTTGTCATTTGATGAACGGGATCACATCATTAGAGAATGATGTGATGGACAAGACCCATCCGTTAGCATAGCATAATGATCATTTAGTTTATTGCTATTGCTTTCTTCATGACTTATACATGTTCCTATGACTATGAGATTATGCAACTCCCGAATACCGAAGGAACACTTAGTGTGCTATCAAACGTCACAACGTAACTGGGTGATTATAAAGATGCTCTACAGGTGTCTCCGATGGTGTTCGTTAAGTTGGCATATATCGAGAATAGGATTTGTCACTCCGATTGTCGAAGAGGTATCTCTGGGCCATCTCGATAATGCACATCACTATAAGCCTTGCAAGCAATGTGACTAATGAGTTAGTTGCAGGACGTTGCATTATGGAACGAGTAAATAGACTTGTCGGTAACGAGATTGAACTAGGTATGATGATACCGACGATCGAATCTCGGGCAAGTAACATACTGATGACAAAGGGAACAACGTATGTTGTTATGCGGTTTAACCGATAAAGATCTTCATAGAATATGTAGGAACCAATATGAGCATACCGGTTCCGCTATTGGTTATTGACCGGAAGTGAGTCTCGGTCATGTCTACATAGTTCTCGAACCCGTGGGGTCCGCACGCTTAACGTTCGATGACGATCGGTATTATGAGTTTTGTGATTGATGTACCGAAGGTTGTTCGGAGTCCCGAATGTGATCATGGACATGACGAGGAGTCTCGAAATGGTCGATAGACAAAGAATGATATATTGGACAATATTATTGGGACACCGGATGAGTTCCGGGGGTCAGCGGATAAATATCGGAGTGCCGGAAGGGTTATCGGAACTATCGGAGAAGTAATGGGCCTTATTGGGCCTAAGGGGGAGAGAGAGAGCGGCATCCAAGGGCTGGCCGCATGCCTTCCCCATGGGCCTAGTCCGAATTGGACTAGGGGGAGGCGCGGTGCCCCCTCCTTCCTTCTCTTTCCCCTTTCCTTCCTTCTTCTCCTAGTTGGACTAGAAAAGGGGGGATCCAACTCCTACTTGGAGTAGGATTGCCCCCCTTGGGTGCGCCCTATGAGGGCCGGCGACCTTCCCCTTGCTCCTTTATATACGGGGATAGGGGGGCACCCCATAGATACACAAGTTGACAGTTGTCTTAGCCGTGTGCGGTGCCCCCTCCACAGATTTCCACCTCGGTCATATCGTTGTAGTGCTTAGGCGAAGCCCTACGTCGGTAACTTCATCATCACCGTCACCATGCCGTCGTGCTGATGAAAATCTCCCTCAGCGTTGGCTGGATCAAGAGTATGAGGGACGTCACCGAGCTGAACATGTGCAGATCGCGGAGGTGCCGCGTGCTCGGCACTTGATCAGTTGGATCGTGAAGACGTTCGATGATGACCCACAAGTGTAGGGGATCTATCATAGTCCTTTCGATAAGTAAGAGTGTCGAACCCAACAAGGAACAGAAGGAAATGACAAGCAGTTTTCAGCAAGGTATTCTCTGCAAGCACTGAAATTATCGGTAACAGATAGTTTTGTGATAAGGTAATTTGTAACGGGAAACAAGTAATGAAAGTAAATAAGGTGCAGCAAGATGGCCCAATCCTTTTTGTAGCAAAGGACAAGCCTGGACAAATTCTTATATGGAGGAAAACGCTCCCGAGGACACATGGGAATTATCGTCAAGCTAGTTTTCATCACGCTCATATGATTCGCGTTCGGTACTTTGATAATTTGATATGTGGGTGGACCGGTGCTTGGGTGCTGCCCTTCCTTGGACAAGCATCCCACTTATGATTAACACCTATTGCAAGCATCCGCAACTACAAAAGAAGTATTAAGGTAAACCTAACCATAACATGAAACATATGGATCCAAATCAGCCTCTTACGAAGAAACACATAAACTAGGGTTTAAGCTTCTGTCACTCTAGCAACCCATCATCTACTTATTACTTCCCAATGCCTTCCTCTCAGCCGAAACAATGATGAAGTGTCATGTAGTCGACGTTCACATAACACCACTAGAGGAGAGACAACATACATCTCATCAAAATATTGAACGAATACCAAATTCAGATGACTACTTATAGCAAGACTTCTCCCATGTCCTTAGGAACGAATGTAACTACTCACAAATCATATTCATGTTCATAATCAGAGGATATTAATATGCATAAAGGATCTGCACATATGATCTTCCACCAAATAAACCAA